ATGGGGGTAAAGACAATGAGTTCAATTTTGGACATGTTCTGAGTTTAAGATGTCCACAAAAACTCCAGTTTGAGATGCTCAACAGGCAGTGATGGGTGAGTGGAGGTTGGTGGAGAAGTTAGTCTAGTAGATCTAAAGTCATCTATCTGCATAGAGATAACTGAAAACATGGGAGCTAGTGAGATTACCAAGAGAAATAATATATAGAGAAAAGAGAAGGCAGCCCAAGACAGAGTCGTGGGGGACCCTCTCAGTTACTGGGCATGACAAGAATGAAGAGCCAGCAAAGCAGACAGAAAAAGAGAGGTCAGACAGGTAGGAGGAGACTTAGTCACAAAAACCTAGAGTAAAGAGAGTATGAAGAAGAGGGTTATCAACAGCATCAAAGGCTGCAGGGAGATTAAGAAAGAAGACTGAGAAAAGGCCATTAGATTTCATCTATGATGAAAATCATTACATCAGAGCAGTGGGTCATTGTCAAGCAACTTTACCTAGTGTACGAGGAATATCTGTGCCTCAGCAACCTTACCTGGTTCATAAAGCAAACTTATTTGACTCTTTATAACTCTTTTTTAAAATTTTTTTTTCCATATGTTTTTGAGTTGAAAATTTTTTCTCCCTTTTCCTCCCCCCTCCACCCTCCCCAAGACGGCGCACAATCTGACATAGGCTTTATTTTACATTTACATACCCATTAAACATAGACTCTTTATAACTCTTTAGCAATAAGTGAGAACAGATTAAGATTATACAGAAAGTTTCTTAGAAGTCATTTGGTTTCTCTCCCCAGCCCCCACTCATTTTACAGAGGAGTAAAAAGGCCCAAAGAGTTAAATGACTTGGCCAAGGTTACTAAGGTACTAATAAGCAAAGATTTGAAGTCTATTTCTATTGTTCCCAAGTCCAGCACTCTGGCACCAAGATTATTTATGGAACAAGCTAGAAAAAAAAATGGGGTTAGTCATAGAGCAAAGCAGGGAAAACAGGGTTCTTGAAGATGTTTACTACAGATGGAAGGAAGTGAAAGAGAGGAGGTATAAGAGCTACTGAAGTTAGAGGATAAGGAAGCATAAAGTCATTGACTGATAACTGAGAAAGGATACTTAAAGAAAAAGCATTTGAACAGGCCATAGGAAAAGGATTCTGATAGTAGTGTCTGCAACCTAAATGGCTGCTATTTGGATCTTTCCCCCTCACTGTTTATCCTTATTTTCTATCATTCCTCTGATCTGCCACAGTTTTCCTCATTTTTAGAAAACCTGATATTAAAAAAATTAATTTATAAAAGAGCCATCATGAGATGATTATTCATGTTATGGAAGTATTCTCTTTCTGAAAGATTCATGGAAGAGTTCCTTTAAATAGAAAGCTCCCCTAGTGCATTTAAGTAAATCATTAACTACTTGGCAGAGAGGTTGAGTGAGTCAGGAGAGCAAGAGAATTTTAAAGCCAAAATATTAGGAGTCACTGCCAACTGAAGATTAATCAGAAATGAAGATAAAGCATCTCAAAACTTTAATGTATGTCAATGAGAAAATGATTGATTCACAAAAATTAAATGCACAACAAAGTTTTTAGGAACATAGCCACAGTGTAAAGTAAGATACACTTGTGCTAGATCCTCTCTGTTGAACCATAACAGTTTGTGAAATTTTCTTGTCCTGATCACAACTGCCTTTCTCTTATGTAAAATGTTGGGGATATTAAAGAGGCACTATTTTAATGATTCATTCCAGACTTGCTTATGATCTGCATTTACTTTGTATTTTGTAGATTAGCATTTTTACAGTGAATACTTTTAATCTCTGGTAGTTGAGGGCTGTGGATGTAAATCTGTTGTTTTTTTAAACAGCTAATTTTAATGATATAGTTTGATGTTTGCTATTAAATTTGGGAAGTTACCATAATTTTAATTTTTAATGTTCAAGCATTAATAATCTGGCATCCTTCTTGTCTTTAGTGTATTGAAAATTAGTTTTAAAAGAGGATTGAGTTGGCTCATGTACATGTATGCATGCCAGAAATCTGTTAAAAGGTCCAGCGCCATTACAACCTTATTTTTAATGCCAGATACCATTACTGAACTGCACATTTTTTATCTTTGAAATATAATCTATGGATATCCATACATCAATTCAGATTTTACTTTGTCGGGTACATTTGTTATATACAAAGATAATTTTAGAGTGTGGGTCGTATTAAATATTAATAATTTAATCTGCTTTAAAACAGAATAATAGAATTGTAGTTATGGTTAGGAACTTACAAATTGGTCTAACTCCTCACCCTCACTTATTTTACAGATAAATAGTCTGTGTTTGACTTGTTTAAAGTCAATTATATTGGTTAAACCAAAACTAAAACCCAAATTTCTTGACTCCCAGTCCACTGTTTTTTTTTCATGCCATTAGAACTTGTTTAAAATGTGAACATGAAGAAGAAAAAACTGATTAGAGAATACTGAAATAAATTTGCTCTTCCAGAAACTGCAGTTAATAAAAGGTTCAGAAGTTTCGTTAGGGGGGCAATCATACTTTTCAGACCAGTGTCAATACTTCTAACTTCCTTAGACTTGACTAATTATTACTGAACATCACTGAAATCCATATACTGTATAGAGAATTTGGGATTGATCATTAAGAAGTCCAGGTACATCTGCTTTTCATAATCTTTAGGAACACACCTGTGATTTAATAGGAGGGCTATAAACCACATTTCAAGGAAGCTCATACAAAGAGCTAGCGTTCTTTCATGTGAATTTAATAAAATCAATATTCTTTACAAAGCCATCTGTAAAGATGATAGATGTTTCTCTGTCTATTAGAATTATAAGTGATGTCTGTAAGGTAATAGTCACAGTAATGTTAATTTTGTTATTATTTCTATATACAATTTTCTATAACTTTTTCAAGCGTGATTCAACCACTTGTTTCAAAAGGCTAAAATTAATAACTGAACTTTGGTGAACTGATAACAAGTCATATTTGAAGTCCTCAATCCTCACTTCTGAGTTTGCTACTGGAGAAATGCATGGTGGATCTTTATTTACATATAATTAGAAAAAAGTGTTGTACTTACCAAGAAGAAAGACAGTGACATAATTATTGGTTTCTAAGCATGAATCAAATTACTGTTTGGGCAATATTTTATAATTTCAATTTCCTTTCCACAATTCTGAATGAAAACTTAGAATGTTTTGCCTTTTTTTAATCCTTAAATTAGCAGGCATTATACATATTCCTGTTTTATCCTTCCAAGAGAATGTAATCTTCTCGAAGTATGGAGTCTGATTTTTCTTTTTGTATGACCAGGGCCTGGTGATTTGCAAACATGACTGTTAAATTGTGAAAAGAGCACACTAGATTTGGAGTTAGAGGACCTATAGTTGAATCCCAGCTCTGCTCTGCATGATGTTGGGCAAGTCTCTTAACCTCTTTGGGTCTCAGTTCTTCATCTGAAAAATGAGGAACTGGAATGGACGATTACTTAAGGATTATTCCAATTCTAAATCCCACGAAAGCACAAAGCAAAAACGAAGACAAAAGAAGTCCGATATTGTAAAAATTGTGGGTGATTCTTTGGTGGGATTACTAACGAATGGGAACACAATTGTGTTTGTGTAATGTACATGTATACTTTTTAAAAAGTGGTTTTTCTCCATTTTGTAAATACTCTTAATAGCTGAGAGAATGGCCATTTACAGCATCACAGAATTCGGACTGTAAGTGACTTTAAAAATGATCTCATCCAAGTCCTTTCATTTTTTACGGATGAAGAAAGAAACTGTGGGCAAAGGACGGGAAATAACTTTCCCAAGGTTACATAGACAATAGATAAATTCTCAGAATCCAGAACGCCAAGACTAACTTCTTATTTGAGTCCTACTTAAAAAATATGAGAATTAAGTGATGGACTAATCCATCCATTGCCTAAGAAGGTAATTTCCACCCGCAAATAGGAATCCAGGAGACCATCTGCAACCTCGACTGTAGTCAAGGTAAGCTTCAAGTTCTAGTCCTAAAGGGAAGAACGAGCCCCTTCCTTCCTATATCTCGATCAGGGATGACCAGCAGGTAACCTTCACTTACGACCAGGTAAAGTTCAGGCCGTTTAGGCAAGATCCTTTTCAACTCAGGTCTCACGTGACTAATATTTATGGGGAAATAGAGCCCAAATCCTGAGGCAGCTTTCAGTCTAGTCAGAAGCGAGCCTAAGCAATCGATTATCAAGGTGGTCAGCTGTCAAAACCACCTCTTACCTTGCCTTTCTTTTTCTTTAAGTGTGTAGGCACTTAAAAGAGAAACAAAAATACCCATTCCACAGCCTAAGCTCCGCCTCGGACTGATGTGGCAGCAAAGGACAGAGCGCCTTCAGGTAGCAGAGGGAATGCGCACGCGCACGACGACTGGAGGGTGGCGCCCGGGGAGGGGGAAGAGGGGGTTGCGTTTCTCTCCCAAGGGTCTCATGCGCCCGGAGGAGGGCAGCGTCTCCTAACTGCCAAGCCCCGCCTGGTTTCGGGGCATAAAAGTTCAAACGGCTGGCCATGGCACACTTCAGTGCCTGACCTAATTCTCCCCCACCCCGAGGACCTCAAGGGGCGGACTACCAAAGTCCAATACTCCCGTACCGCTTTACGCTCCTCCTGCCAATCACCATTCGCCGCACCGTTTCTAACCAGAGAGAAACTCTCCACTTCCTTCCTCTTCCCGCCTTCTTCCCGCCCCTTCACATTCCTCGACCAATCACAGGAGCCGGATTGTCTCTTGTTCTCAGCCTCCTTTACTCCATTCTCCTCCTCTTCCTTTAATCCCACTCCAACTCTTTTGCTGCCCCACCCTCTTAGTCTAGCCAGCCAGGACCACCTGACCAGGAGTTGGTCCTGCGGCAGGAAAGGGAGGGGACGTTTCGGTCGGGAGGGGAAATGTAGGAAGGAGGGCGCGAGGAAGGGGCGGAGGGAAGTGTTGTCAGTAAGATCTCGCGATATCGGACGGAAGCCTGTGGGAGCCCGTGGCCTTTAAAGTGCGGTTCAACCCTTTCCTCCGGGGGTAGTTTGTAAACAGCCGTGGGTGCCGGAGCTCGTGGTCACGGCCCCCGCATTCGGGGGTGGCGCGCGAGCCAGGGGAGCGGGGAAGGTGAGTAATGGTGGAGATCGGGGTGTCGGAAGGGAGCAGGCGGGGGGCACCGAGGGAAGAAGGCGCTAACATGGCGACGTCGCTCGCTACAATCCCCACCCCCCACCATCCACTCCTTCTCGGCCCGGGTCCCTGTTTCCTCGGGCTGCGATGGCAGTTCCGCCTCCGCTGCGGCCTGGGTGGCGCCTGCCCTGCGGCCTTTCGAGGACCGGACCGTTAGGTAGGTGGCTTGTCCGGTTCCGGCTCCTCCCCGCTGGCGCGCTTTCCTGAACCCAGAATAACGGCATCTGTTCTCCTCCCCGGCCCCCCCGGGCTTTCCCGGCTTTTAGAGAGGCCCCTGGGGGCTGTGTCCTCCGCTGTGAAAGTGGGCGTGACTGGGGGGGCCCCGCTTCCAAGTTACCCTCCTCTGTGGCTTGGAGCAGAAACACCCCTTCCCTGTCCCCCTAGATTAGGCTGGTGTGTTGGGGCGATGGAGCAGCGGCGGCATGGAAGGGGAGGGGACCTGGGTCCGCTCACCTCACTGACCTGGGCTGTAGGCATCATCGTTGCTAACCGTACTACTACTAGTAGAAATGGCTTCATGGAGGGCCGGCCTTTTCTCTTTTTCTTTTCCCTCCCCTCCTTAAGCGAATGCAGGTTGAATCAGGTGTTTCCCCATCAGTGACCTCCGCTGGTGTACAGCAAAGTCTTTGTCAGGGAATGATCTGTGGGTTTTTTCTTTTTTTTTCCCCCTTTTCCATTAAAGCCCTAGGGCGCCTGTGGGGACTACCTTATTACTCTGGTGGTGTCTGTGTTTTTTGAGAAGCTGGGAGGGGACTAGGGAAAGGGCGGAGGTGGGAGCCCCCTTTGTGTATGCCTACTTGTGTGTTCTTGATGTCTGGTGTAAAATCCTCCTCTTAAGAGGTTGCTGGGGCAAAGAGCAAAGCTACCGTGTAAATATAACGGAGTGACAGGGATTACCCATATTTTTATTGAAGCCAAGCCTTTTATTGTAGTTGAAGGAACATAGACTCCATAATTTGTTAAGTTTGATGTAGGGGAGATAATTAAATGTCTGCACCCAAGGAATATTTCAGAAGCTATCTATATGTAATCTCGGGACATTTTCTTTGTCATATTACAACATATTTGTTAAACAATTGTTACTAACAGGAGTTTTTGGCAAGTTCTCATTTAAAAAAATAAAACACCCAACTGTCGTCATCTGTTTTAATAAAATAGTAAAAGTGAACTCTTGTTAGTAAAAGTTTATTTTAGAGGCCAAGAAATTTATGGAATCAGGGATTAAGGACTATGAAATTCAGGTCATTGCGTCAATTTTAGATTATGGGATTATATTTATGACTTCAACCCAAAGAGCCCATAACTTCTTGAGCATCCTTAAGAATTATGTAAAATTAGCCATTTTTTTGATTTGAAGATTGAGTCGCAGAAGTCCTTACTGATCTGCTGGTGCTTCTCCCTTTACCCCATCCCAATTATTTTTGTCCCTGTGTGTGTATGTTGTTTTCCCCCAATAGAATGTAAACTCCTTGAGGACTTAAACTGTTGTATTTTTGTCTTCTTATCCCCAACACTTGACATGTAGTAGGTGCTTAATAAATGTTTAGTGATTATCTTAGGAGACTAAAAGTGAATTAAGTTGAGTAAAATACTGATCTAAGTCACTGACTGATGACTTGTAAAGTGTAAGCATTTCCCTAGTTTGTATTGTTACCTATTCTAGTTTTAAAAATGTAATCTTGCATTGTTTAGATATTACTGCCCTCTTTGTATTTCCAGTACCTAGCATAATGACTGACCCATTGTAGATACTCAAAAAATGTTTAATGATGGGAGGATACATAGTTATTTTTCTTTTTAAAAAAAGTATCCATGTGACTGAAACATGTACATACTACTGTTGCTACTATTTATTCCCTGCTTTGAAGAGACAGGAAGTACAAGGTGATGTTTTTCTCAAAATACTTCCTAGACTGTTGCATCTAGTCTGAGTTGGAAGGGTCCTCAGAACCTGTCTACTGTATCCCATACCACAACAAGAATCCCTTCTACACCATCTTCCAAGTTGACCATCCATTCTTTTTGTCTGATAGCTTCTTAGTACATCTTCTTAGGCTTTTGGAGTGCTCTCATCAAGTTTTTTTTTTCTTATGTTAAGCCTAAATCTGCCCTCTAACTTCTTGCCCTTGCTTCTACTTTTGTTCTGGCCAAGAAAGAACAAGGCTAATGCTGTTTCCACGTGACAGCTCTTCAGATACTTGAAGATGGTAATGGTGTGTCTCCCTAGGTCTTCTCTAAGTTAAATATTCCCACTTCCTTCAACTGAATCATATATGGCATGATCTTGAAACTCTTCACAATCCTAGTTGCATCTTCCAGATGTTCTTGAGTTTATCAATAAATATCTTTTCTAAAATGCAGCATCCAAAATTAAACACAATACTCTAGATGTGGTCTGACCGAAGCACAGTACAGTTGAGCTATAACCATCATTATGCCTTTGTTAACATAAGTTAGTACCATATCACCTTTTCTGTCACTCTATAACTCTCTTCACTCAAACTGAACTTATAGCTCCAGGGTCTTTTTTACATGACATGTTTCTATTTCATATAACAGTTTTCTGCATCTTGAACTTGTGAAGTTTAGTTTTTGAACCCAAATGAGGGTTTTGCATTTACAAAAATCTCTTATGTATTGGCACTGCCTGCCATATAAGTGAATAGTGAGTAAGTGAAATAGTATAAATATCAAAAACAGAAGCCTATTTTCTTTATCAAAGTCACTTATGTAGGAGAAAAGCCTTTTAATGGTAGTAAGCCTCACATACTGCTACAGATCTTATAATTTCTTTTATTCATTATTTGTCTTGGAGAAAGATCATAATTACCCTAAAAGTTGTGTTAGAGAGTCTTCCAGAAGTAACATACAATAGTCTTTTATAATGATATTTTAAATAATAATTTGATATACTTTAATATAAGGAAGAAAAACAGTTATAAATTATAAAACTTACATTGTAAATGTACAGAATTGTAAAACCATATAGAGTATGCAGGAGAATAGATTTTTGTGAGGAATAATGCCAAAGTGTTTTATTCGAAATAAATAAGATCTGAGGCAGGGGTTCATTTAACTGTAGGTAGATTGATAAGTTTGAAATTTATTGTTCTTGAAAATTCATATTCCATATTTAGAACAGAAATAACTATTAAGAGCATTTCACTTCATTTTCTCAATTTCTTATCAAGCAGTCTTGGATTTCAAGAATGTGATCCCAAGGTAGCTGACATTGATATAGCACTTTAAAGTTTACAAATATGTCATTAGTGTTTCAACAATGCTGTGACATAGGTACTAATGGTATTATTAGATGAAGAAACTGAGGTTAAGTGATGTACTCAGATCTTCCAAACTCCAGGCCCAGAAATAATGTATATACTGTGACATGCTGCCTCTCAATGTTTTTTGGGAAGCAGTGAATAAGCAAAAAACAACATAAACGTTTAGAAGCCTGAAATATTTTGTAAAATAACAATTAAATTTGAAAATAATATACTTCAGTTACTTCAGGTCCATTGCTTTCATCCATATGGGTACTACTTTATCACTGTAGATGGTAAACCCCTCTACAGAAGTTACTGTGGGTAAAAAAAAAAATCATCTACTCTGTTGACGTCCTTAACAACTCTGGTTAATCTCAAAAGTGTCATGACATATACAATACGTTTTGCAGCTTTTTATTACTGCAGGTCTTTGGACACAATTGACATTTTTACTTATGTTTATTTAAAAGGAATTTAATCTATTTATGAGCATCTGCTTATGTTATCAGAAACTTTTGGTAACTAGAATAGTGCAGTCTCTTGGCTCATATGTATGAAGACTGGTTGAATAAAGTGGTTGGTTTGTTCAGCCAATCAACATTAAATTCCTGCTATGCAGTAGGGATTTATGCTGAATGATGGGGATAGAAGGGAAAAAATCAGACAGTCCCTGACCTCAAGGAATGTATACACTATAAGAAGAGAAAGACATATGGGCTTTAAGAATTTGAAAGACTAATGATGTTAAAGAGAGTTTAGACTTGTTCTGATTGTCCCCAACATCAGGAACAGTGGATAGAAGTTAAAAAGAGGCAGATTTAGACTGGATGTACAGGAAAGGTTGCTGAACTCTTAGCTATCCAAAAGTGTAATGAGCTTTCTTAGGAGCAAGTAGGTTCCTCACTGGAAACCATGAGGAAGAAGCTGAGTGATCACTTGTCAGGTAGGTTGTAGAGAAGATTTGTGTTCTCTAGTTAACTAGTTGGACTTAACGGACTAGTCCATTTTTATTAATTGGACTTAATAGGTTGAGATCTTCTAATTCTGGGACTCTCTGAATGTTGAACACTGTGCCATAAGATGCCATTTTAAAAAATTATTAAATCTGACTATTCTTTCTGAAGACCCTTTCCTACTTCTCGTCTGTTAATTCCTGGCTTCAATCTTCTTTTTATAGGTTGTGTTTGGTTTGGGGCAATACCTTCTTCTATTAAATTTTATATAGTTTAAAAAAATTTCCATTATGCTACCACCTTAAATTCTCACCTAGTTTATTTTTTATATTTTTAGAAATAGATTTTGTAAAGATAATTACAGAATCCAGTAGTGAACAAGTAATTTTCAGTATTTGGAAGCTGAATGAGTGTCATGATATTTTATTGTGTATTTATATGATAGGCAGTGTACTAAAGCAGATAAAGGACTAGCCTTGCATTTAGGAGGAATTGGGTTTAAGTCGTGCCTCTGATGCCTTCTAGTTGTATGACCTTAGGAAATCACTTAACCTCTTAGTACCCTAAGAGGCAGCCTTTAAGAGGCTCTTAACATTTTTTATGTTATGGACCCTTTGGCATTCTGGTGAAGCAAACAAACCCTCTCAGAATGGTTTTAAATATATAATACAAAATACATAGGATTACAAAGGGAAGAAACAATAGTGATAAACAATTA